CATGGAAGAAATCCTCCAACACCAGCAGGTAGAAGAGGCCCTTGTTCTCAAAGTCTGGGAGGAACTGAGTCCTGTCCCCGACTCCTTTTGTGAGCTTAGAGTTCAATGCTGCCAAGTCAAGTTTTGGGGTGATGACAGCCTCAACTGACCCGAGGACTGTGAGAGTTCCAGGACTCCAGACTCACAGAAACTGGGGGGCAATCAAGGGTTTGCTATTTTTAGGTCCCCAGAGTTTTGGAAATCTTTGCTACATAGCATGAAATGAAGCCCTCTGCTGCCTACCTTAGATGCACATGCTGTGATGGGCTGTGTTCAACAGTGAGCGAGGGAAAGTGCTGTGAGTCCCTTCCCCCTCTTGGAGGAAATTCAGCATGCTTATCAGCATAGGAAAGTTTCCAAAACATCCCACAAAAAAGAAGTGTAGTTAATGTTGTGCAGCCATTTCCCAACTCTCTTGAATCACAGAGCCTGTTTGCTGGAGACATGCCTGTTAATATCTTGTGTAATTATTCTTTGGAGAATTAAAGTGCTGGGATAAGAGAAGAAGTGATTCTATGGAAGAAGTCGGGATTGCCAGCCTGCCATTTCTTCCCGGTTTGAACATGTGCTCTTAGCTAGTTGGTGGGCATCATCTTGTGAAAAACATGAGTGTGGGAATATATGTGCACGTGCTGTCCCGCATGTGAGTCCGCCGGCAGAGACAGGGACTTTCTGCCGTGGTCAGCTCGTTGTGTAACTTGGTATTCCCTTAACACAGAGGGTAATAACTCTGCAAACTTGCTAAATCAGAATATTGGCTGCTAGAGGGATTTCATAGAACAGCAGCTGAGCATCTTAAGAAACAAAAGATTTGTTTTGGTTTAGAGCTCATTCAGAAAGAGGTATTATTTCCCACAATGCTATGAGGTTTTTATCTGAACAACACATTATCTCATGTCGTTTGCCAAGACACATTACTGTCTTGCTTTCTTCATGAGGAAACTGAGCTCAGATATTAAATTATAAAGCTTAGGTTTGGGGGATCAGACCGGGTCCAAATGTGGTGCTCACTATGCCATTCTGCCCCCACCCTGTAAACCTTCTTTCTTTTCTTTCCTTCTTCCCTTCCATTCTTCCAGGACTTGTCTGTTTAATAGAGTTACAAACAGAGGGCAAAAGATCTTTTATCTATTGGTTTACTCCCCAGTTGGCCACAATAATCAAGTCTAAGGCATGCTGAATCCAGGAACCTAGAGTTCCATTTGGATCCCCCACATCTGTGGCAGGGGCCCAAGCACCAGGGCCATCTTCTGCTGCTTTCCCAGGATATTAGCAGGTCGCTGGATCAGAAGTGGAGCAGCTGAAATTTGAACCTGTACCATATATGTAATGCCCATGTTACAAGCAGTAGTTTAACCAACTTCTCCATCAGCCTTATCCTTGATTTTATTTTTATTTTTGCCCTGAGGCCACTTACTGAGATGCTTGCCCACTAGAGATGCTCTGACTGACAGTCTTTATTTACACTCATTTTAACCTCAAACTCAACTGACCTTTCATGGGCCACGTTGATATTACTGGACTTCTTCATGTGTTGTCAAGAAGTCAGTCAGCACTTTGTGCATCCTAGCTTGGAATCTCTCTAAGAAACTCTCTGATTCATGTTCTGTCATCCTTATTCGTGGTAATGGAGGCAGAGGTGTTCCTGAACTTTCCACTGAGGCAAGACACAGAGCACCTTGCTCCTGGATTCCACTAGTCAGTCTCATCACCCTGTCAGTTTGTGCTTCTGCTCAGTTCCAACCACACTGCCATATTTTAAGTGGTATTGTGGCAAAAACTTACTTCCACGTACAATTTGTGTGTGTGTGATTGCTGACATTTAAAAAAAAAAAACCCATAATTAAGTGGCTTTAAAGCATAACTAGCAATTCCCTTGATTCTGAATCCCAGCTGGGCCCATCTGGACAGATGTTCTTCTCTGTGTGTTGCTTCCTGGAGTCATCCCTTTCTCACTGCCCTGGAGGGCCATCTTTGTCACAGAAGGGTCCATATATAAAACATGTATTTATGTTTACACATAATTGGGTCTATTTCCAGGCTCATTGATCCTTTCCCTTGCTTTGTCTATTCTGTGTCAATGCTCTATAGAACAAAGTTTGCTTATTAACTTATTGTTATTTCAAAGGCAGAGTCACAAAGAGATCACCACTCCAGTGGCTCATTCTTCAAATGCGTGTACCAACCAGGGATGGATCAGATGACAACCAGGAGCAAGGAACTACATCTAGGTGTCCCACGTGGGTTTCAGGACTCCAAGCACTTGAGCCATCACCCACTGCCTCTAAGGGTACACGTTAGCAAGAAGCTGGGGCAGAGACAGGAGCAGGACTTAACCCCAGGCACTCCATCCTGGGACGCAGGCATGCTGAGTTGTAACTTCACCCTCCATGCTACAAGGCTCACCTCCTCACTCCTATTTATACAGTTTTTCTTTGCATGTTTTGTGTGTATGTCCACTCTTATTTACATAATGTTTTGTTTTGCAGTGTGTGTGTGTGTGTGTGTGTGTGTGTGTGTGTGTGTTTAAAAGCCTGTACTATTCTTTCTAGAGTCCCCAATAGACTTGGATGTCTGGGCAATCCTGACTTCACAATACAACTTGGGAATCATTCCCACACTTTCTATACACATACACTCAGTGTGATTTCATACTTAGGTGCTGCGTAGATACAGAAATTGGTTCCAGGAGACAATGCTGCCACAGTAGCAATGAGAGCTGAGGCCTTCATTGCAACAGATCTTGGGGAACTGAGTCCTGCCACTGAATGAGTTCCAGGCCTTCAGGCCAGACTGCAGTGCTGGCTGACGCCTTGACTGTAGCCTTGTAAGAGACCTTGACACAAAGCAGCCTGTTATGTACAGACATGTAACCCCTCCAGACCCATGTGTTCAAGTCCTAGCCCCCACCTCCCACTGTGTGACTATTTTTCAGGAAAGCGGCCTCAAACGGGGCACTACGGATCGAGATCAAAGGGGTAGAGCCCTAATCTAAGCTAAGGCTGGCATGGAAAGAAACAGGTGCCTGACATTGCCCTCTCAGCTTGCCCGCAGGAGAAAGCTGTGTGAGGGCAGAGCAAGAAGGTAGCCCCCTGCCAGCCAGAAGGAGAATCCCCACAGAAACCAACAGGGCCAGATCATGGCTAGAAAGGAGGGCTCCTGGCTAGGCAGGGACGAGGAACCCTCCCTGCTGCAGGGGGGTAAGGAGCTCCAAGCCATGGCTTCTGCGCGCCATGCTGACCTCATGCGCTAGTCCTTGTATTCAAGGCTTTTTTATACTGTTGCAACTGATCCGCGTAATGAGAATTCTGTAACGGTGGAGAGGGGTAAAGTTTCAAGTGTTTTCTGTTGAGTCTCAATTAGAACCGTTGTCCAATTAATCAGTGAAAATCATTCTTTTCTGGGGCCCATCACGGGCACGTCCACTTTTACAGCCTTAAAACCCTTGACAATCAGTTTTCAAAATGGCTGCCTCCTGGAGGGACCTCAGTGCCGCTGGAAGTTGTTCGTTTGTTTCTTCAGTTGTTTTATTTTTTTAATATTTGAATTTATCTGAAGGGCAGAGATACACAGAGAGAAGGTAAGAGCGCAATCTTTGATTCTCTGTGCACCCTCTAAGCTGCTGTAGTGGCTGGGGCTGAGCCAGGGCCGAGCCAGGAGCATCGGTGCTCCTCCATGGGCGCAGCGCCCGAGCGCCTGCACGTCCTCCACCACTGTCCCAGGCGGGAGCAGACACTGCCAGGCAGCCCTCACGTTTGGTGCCGCTCAACTTGTTGGTTCTTCTGATTTACACGCCTTTCCTGATCCATGCTCCTCATTTTTCGTGAACTCAAGACGTGAGCCCAGCAGAGAAAAAGGAGTGGTAAGAACTGCAGGCCCCGGACACACCTGGATCTCAGGTTCCTGGCCTCTGAAAACCTGTGAAACTTCTTTTATCACTGTTATTTTCCATGAGGTGGTGTAGGTGTAGGAATTCCTCTCCTCCCCTTCCTGCCTCCCTCCTAATTGAGCTGTACACTCAGGCTGGGGAATTTTGTTCTGGCAGCCTAATGACTTAATACGGCACCCCTCTTCACTGTGCTTCACCAGCAGCAGTTTCAAGATAATACTATTTGTTGTATTGAACTGCTACATTGTGGGGCAATTTGTTGTGCTGCAATAGCTATTATGTTAGCCTAATTGCTTTCTCTGCATCCTTTTTTGAATTCCATTCTCAAAAAGTTAAGCAGGTCTGTATTCTTGGCAAGGAGTTATTGGCAATTTCTTTCCATTCTGTTAAAAAAAAAAATCTTTGAGAGAATATGATCTCTCCCATCCATTGGTGATGCATCAGTTTACTCTGCACTTGCCCCTAACAGCTGGGGATGGGCTAGTCTGAAGCCAGGAGCTCCACCTGGGTCTCCCACAAACAGAATCTTCCGAGGATGAGATGCAGCCCTGGGGAGCGTTCACAGCTGGGCCCCCGAGGTGTATTAACAAAGCAGCTGGGACTAGAAATGACACTGCAATATGGGATGCCAGTGTCACAGGTGACAGCTTAACTTGCCGTGCCACAATATTGACCATGCATGCCAGTGTCTGGGTCATTAATAGCACTTCCTGAATCTTTTTTTTTTTTTAATCAGCTTCCTATTTTTCCAGCTTAGTGAAATCCTTGTTTAGATCCAAATTTGAGTGTGAGTCGATGAGGACAGAATAACTACAATCATTTGCAGTCCATGGAGGTCTTGCACATGCTGCTATGGCGTGCCCTACGTCCTACATATTGACGCTGTGGTCGTTCTGTGTGTATCTGTTTTGTACACTTCTTGTAAATCCTTAATTCTTGTAGGGATGTTACTATAGTGGCTGCCTCCAGGTGATCTTAGTTATACATCTGTTGAAACAAGCCTGGGATTCCTAGACGTGGATGAAAATTTGCTAATCCGTCAGCTGGGAATTCTTTCCAGAAGACCCCAGAAATGGAGAGCTTCCACACCAGATTCAGTGCCTGGACTCCTTTTAAAAACAAGTCATTAAATGGACAGGTGAGTTCATACGCTACAATAAATGAAGTTTAATTTGTTGGGCTAATTTCACTGTTCTATATTGTCTCGTACTGCTGTATTTGGAAAGCAGGACCCTCAAAGAGTTTAGTTTTTGAGTCATAAAGAAGAATCCTGGGTTTGTCCCAAAGAGAATCTGCACTCGTGCCAGCCTCAGCCTTAGGAGAGGTTCAAGGTCGTCCTCCCCTTGAAGGTCCCTGTTCTGCCAAGCACATCTGCAGACAGGGATTTGCAAGAAGGCGCTTTGGGCCGTGATGCTATGGGAGCGCTCAGGCATATGTTTCTCCACTCCTGTCTTTTCTCCTGGACCAGTTGTACAGTTCCCTGTGTGTATGGACTACCCACCCTTTCAAAAGAGAATGCAGAGAAGAGTCACCGACAGGCAGTTGGCAGCTCAGCCAGGCCCTAGTAAAGAAACAAAACTGGAAACTCAGACCTGGTGAGGATTTGACCCCAGGTGGAGGAGGCTAGGCTGGGCTGGGGCTGTCCTGGGTGCACAGACTGTGAGCTTGTGTGAGCCAAGCTGAGAAAATCAGAGCTGCAGAGGACACTGGTAACAGTGGCTAACAGGCAGTAGTTAGGTACTTGGACGTTGGTGGACACTGTGAAGACCCAGGTCTGTGGGTTAAAGTCCTTCCTGCTGCACATGGTCCTGTGTGGGTGCTATGTATTTTCACGATGAAGTGTAGAGTCAGTTTCCCCAGGCTGCATGTGTGTCAGCGGGAGCAGGAGTTGGGGTCATCCGTCTTGGCTTTCCGGTGGAGCATCTTAGGCTTGTCTGTAATTATAGCTCCATGAGCCCATTCCACAAGCCCAGGCTTGTCCGTACCTGTGGATGGAAACAGCTTAAAGCATAAGGAGAGCCCCTTTACGAGCTGTAATGTGCTATGTCAATATTAGCTGTGAGGATCGTAGGAGATTGTCTGCTTAGCAACTAAGAACACACTGGCCTGTGCAGCCAAGTTATCTTTTCTTCTCTCTAGCTCTTTCAGGAAAGAGTTGCTCTTATAAGTCATTGGTTTGACCTCTGGACTAACAAGCAACGTCAAGAATTCCTGTGCACAATTTTTTCGCAGTGTACAAAATCACAGTTAAGGTAACCATAGCCATTTTCTTTGGTTCTTCGAAGCAAGAGAGTGAAATGTTATATAACTGTTGTGAATTTGTTTTCTTTTACTTTAAAGAAAAATAAGGAAATTTGTAACAGACTCTTTTGCTTGCCTGCTGCTGGAGGCTGATACAGCAGCCCTGGGGGCCTTAATGGCTTCATACCCTTGTGGGGCTGTTTTGTTTTTGCCAGAACTTGTCCGTGACTGCAGCTGGTGAGTTCTGAACATTCTGCTAGTATCTCAACCCCTCCTTGGAATGATCAGGCAAGTTGGCTACAAGTGAGTATCTGATAGACAGCTAGACACCTGGCTAATGATTGTTCAGTGAACACAGGGATCTGGAAAAAAAATGCACAAGATGTAACAATGGTAACAGTATTCAGGACATGGGCAAGACCTATACAGCAGCGGCCAGTGAGTACCAAGGGAATTTGTTCCTGTTCTGCCCCTGTCCACGGGTTGAGGCTATAATTTCCTTTCATATACTTCTGCATGGACAGTGTGACAGTTGTTGAAATTACACTGCGGAGCAGCCAGTGTTCCGACCAGGGGACACTTGCCAGCTCTAGAATGGAAAGGTTGCAGCACCCCGGTTATACCAGATCCCTTGCTAACAAGCATACAAATATCAATCAGTAGTTGTTATCAAAGCAACGGGTGGCGTGTTCATTAGCCGGAGGAATGTTAGTTACTTTGGTGAAAGTAAAGGTGTTTCAGAAATGTGCACTGAGATATTCTAAGAGGTCTCCCAGCACACCTGGAAATAATTGAGGGATACAGCTGGGCTGGTAGCAGGTGCGTGTAAGGATGGGTTTGCAGCTCTAGCCCCCAAACCATGGCCTGGTGTCAGTCTAGGGGGTTTCTGTGACCTGAGTCCCACCAAGAAGATAACAAGAGGAACATATCCTTTACCAGTGGACTGAGACTCAGAGGATGGATGGCTAGGACTTCCGCAAGCTTTCATAGACTCTAGAAGGGGCCTGGGCTTCTTCGTACATGTTTGCTTGCTGAAACTGTAGGTGTGGTATCCTAGGGCATTTGTCACTTTCATTATAACCTGGAGATGGTGTCGCTGGAGACACTGGCCTTCATAAGTAACAGCTACCAAAAAATGGTCTGAGATTTGTGCATGCTGGAATTAGCTTATTTTAGTTTGCAATGCCTGCCTCCCATTCTTTCTTAAAAGATTTATTGATCTTTTATTCAAAAAGAAGAATTAGAGAAAAAAGAGAGAAAGATCTTCCATCTGCTGGGTCACTCCTCAAATGGCTGCAATGGCTCAAGTAGGATTGATCTAAAACCAGGAGTCTGGAGCTTTGTCTCAGGTCTTCCATGTGGACTCAGGGTCCCCAGGATTTGGGTCACCCTTTTCTGCTTTCTCAAGCACATTATCAGGGAGCTGGATCAGAAATGGAGCAGCTGGGACACAAATAAGCACCTACACAGGATGCTGGCAATTCAGGCAGAGGCTTAGCTTACTACACCACAGTGCCAGCCCCACCCGTTCTTACATTTTCTTTTGTCGATACTTTTTATTTTTTGAAAAACTTATCTGAAAGCCAGAGTTACAGGGAGAGAGCGAGAACTTCCACTCATTGGCTCGTTCCTCGCATGACTACCATGGCCAATGCTAAGAGCCAGGCCTAAGGCAGGAATCGGGGTTTGGACTAGAAGTGGAGCAGCCAGGACAGGAACCAACACTGCTGCCTTTTCTTAGTGTGTTACATGCTGCACCACAGTGTCGGCCCTGCCCGTCTCGATCACTCATTTCTTCTGTCGCTGTCAGCTTCCCTTTGCATCTGTGGGGTGAAGCAAGGAAGGGGCTCTCAGGAATCGTCACTGGGAGGAAACCTACATCTTCCAGGCTCTGTTGAAAGAGGCTACAAAAACAGAAAAGCGATTCCTTAACCCTAAAAATCCTAGGAAAGGAGCGTTTTATGACAGCCATCGACTTCTTTTTACTTCAGCTTTGCAGTTTTCAAAATCAGAAAATAATAGACCAAATCATGTGTTTGTAACCTTTCATGCATTACATTCCAGGCTGACGCATCTTAAGCAAAGCAATTTTAGTTGCCACCACCAGAGGTCATCAGAGATCTTGTGTCCTTTGAGGCCCCTTTAATGTTGGGCCTGACTCTTGGTCAACTGAAAATTATCCTTTGTCTGGGATTCCTTCTGGGGAACAGGAATCTGGAACCAGCTTGTTCTGTGAATGCCTTCGTTTTGTTTGTTAATAGCTGACTTCTGCAGAGATTGCTCAAAACTGGCCAGTGCACTCCCCAGGCTGTGATTCTGGGGAGAAGTGTATGTGAATTTCTGGTCTGTAGGTTTGGCATCTGGAACCTATCTTTCGTTTGGTGGTGGTTTTTGTTGGTCAACATCAATCAGTTCATTCTCTAAAATCTGGATTAAGTCCAATTTCATTGCCATCTCTACTAGTGTCTGACCATGGGACAGAGGAACTGGCCAACTAGGTATGGGCAATCTAATCCAGTTTGGGCTCAATTTTAGTTAAATGTAAAAGCCTTGTTCATTGTTTTTAGAGTTGCTATGGTCATCCTTTCTTTATTGGGATGTAATTCATAGTTTTAGAACATTCGCAGAGTTGAGTATCACCACGACCTAAGTCTAGAACTTGTCATTACCCTCGAAATAACCCCCTGTCCCCTTGCAGTCGCTCCCTATCCTGTCCTCCCAGGTTAGAGCAAACTCTAATAGGCTTTGTCCCTCTTGCTTTTCTTATCCAGGGCTTTACCTGTAAACGGAATCATGTGTTATGTGATCGTTCAGAACTAGCTTCTTTCTCATTGCAATGTTTTCAAGGGTTATTTATTTTGTAGCATGTGTCAGTCCTTCTTTCTGTTACCAGGTAATGTGCCGTTGTATGCAGAGGCTGTATTTTATCTACCCAGTCCTACTTGATGGGCATGTGGGCTGTCTTCTGCATTTTGGCTGCTGTAAATGCTATGAATATCAATGTCCACATTTTTGTACTTGAATGTTTTTATTTCTCTTAGATATGTATCTAGAAGTGGAATTGCTGGGTCAAATGATGCCGAAATAATTAACTTTTAATGATTGTGTTTTGAGTCATGTTTATTCCTGTACTCTTTGCTCCTAACTGAATAAGCTTGTTAATAAATGACAGAGGTGATCAGTGACTTCAGTGCCTGGAATCTTTCTGTTAGCTGGGTTGTATTTGTGGAGTGCCTGTTTTTGGCAAGGTAGAGAGACCATTGTTGTATGCATTTTGTTTTCTAATTGGCAGGTAATTTTGTTTTCTTTCTGACAGTTGCAATTATGAACAGGGTATTGCCACATTGGTAGGAAATATGGCATCACAATTTTCTTTAGCAGTTAGATCTGATATTTTTAAATGTTTATGATTTCTATTGTAATAAGCTATTTCTATTGTAAAAACTTATTTTTAAGTTGTAGGATTTCCTTTATGACATTTAAAATGTTTTGGAAGGATTAGCTTCTTAAACCATTCTTCTGACAAGTTCTCCCACTCTGGGGAACTCTTCCCCACCCTGCCATTCTTACAAACCTCCAGGCTGGTATTGCCCTCCAGACACAATGCCTGGATGCCAGCAGGTCTAATGGTGTCCAGTGGTGCCTTGCACCTGCCACTTGACCAGGTTGACCTTTCCTGGGCTCCTTAAGGGAAGTTGGGCTATTTGTGTTGGTCACACTTAGAGATTACTGTTAGGAGTTTGAATCTTTCTCCTTGCCACACTGGTGGGACCGGTTTTGAGTTGCATCTGCTGAGCCTTACACAAAAACCTTTCATTCCAAGCTGGAGCTGTTCAAGCTTGTGGCCTTCCTGGTGGGTGGGGTAGCATAGCATTCATGCACCTGCATACACAAGCAGGGATGTGTGTCGTGTATGTATGTGGAGAGAGGATGAGTCACGAATGGCCCAGGAGGGAGTAGCTTCTGTTGTCTGTCTCCACGGAAGTCAACTGGAAATGGCACCGGAGGGCAGAAAAATGCTGACTAGTGTAGATTACAGAGAGAACACCCTACCTTCACCCTACTTCAATATACTTTCCCACCCCAGCCACTGAAAAGTCTCAGAGGAGGCCATCTTAGGTGCAGTTTGGTAAGGAAGTCAGTGTGTCACTCTACAAAGAGTGTGGACACTGGCTAATATAGCATACTGACCAGCTCCATTATTCTGAAGCATAGTCCCTCTGTGAGGTGCCTATTTCTGGGTGGAGATGGTGATGTTAGAGGAAAAAGCCATTGAATGTCGGCTGCTCAGCATGGCCAGGAGAGGAGTAGGGAGCTCTGCAATGGGATTGACGGTGGAGAAGAGAGCTGGGGCTTAACTCCAAGCACAGCAGGGGCAAGGGGAACTGATAGCCAGGGAGCTGGGTAGGAGCACCGGATGGGAAATGTCTGAGAAGAAATGAAGGAGAAGTCTGTCTAACCGACCTAGCAGGATTCCTGCATTAGATAGGCCAGTGTGCTCAGGCATCCCTTGAGGAGTGTTGGTGATAAGGAACCCAGTCAGATCTCCAGGGTGGTCATATGTGGCCAGTTCTTGCTCAATGGACTTTGCAAGTCTTGAATTCTGGGTTGCTGTATTTTAAGGAGTCATTTGCATTTTTTTGAGTGAAGATTTGGGGCCATGTTGTGGTACATCAGATTTAACTGCTGCTTGCAACAATGACATCCCATGTTGGCTCCTGTTCAAATCCCAGACTGCTCTGCTTTCAATCCAGCTACGTGAAAATGCACCTGGAGGGCAGCAGAAGATGGCCCAAGTACTTGGGCCTCCGCCACTCAAATGTACACGTGGATGGAGTTCCAGACTCCTGGTGTGTGGCCTGACCCAGCCCTAGGCATTGCCACCATTGGGGGGCTTAACCGAGGAGTGAAAGATCTCTATTTCTGTAACTCAGCCTTTTAGATAAATACATCGTCATCATCATTTTAAAAAAGAAATTAAGAGTGGTTGCTTGGGGGGGTTTAAACGGGT